GAAACTTTCATACAAGAAATTAAAGCCAAATACTTCTCCATTATTATAGACTCCACCACAGATAAAAGTCATCAAGACTAGATTACATTTATTCTTAGGTAGTATGTGAATGACAATACAGTAATTGAGAGATTCTTGGGATCTATTCAGTTGGAGAGGTCCATTGCAGAATATTAAACAGAAATAGTTATAAAGAAAATTGAATGGGTTAGGATTAGGTATTGAAAATTGTCATGGACAAATGTATGATAGTGCCACAAATATGTCAGGGTGTTACACAGGAGTATGGGCAAGAATACAAGAATTGTCACCGAAAACTATTTACGGGCAGTGATCAAATAATTCATTGAATCTTGTGCAATTAATTTTGCCCCAGCTTGGAAGCAACTGACTATTTTACAACTGTTTAAAGTATTTACATGTTCTTTTCGGCTTCCCCTCAAAGATGGAACTTAATGCAAAGCTGTAAATGTTCTGGTTGAGACTAGATGGTCTCTTCGATTTGAAGCAGCATAGAAGCCCTTTGCATAAAAAATCGAGGCAATAAAAGAACATTTTTCAGTTTTACAATAATACAGAAGAGAAACCTGCAGTTAGAAACAAAGCGAAGGCTCTGTACAATAAAATCAACACCTTCAAAAGAGCTCTATTGACATCAATTTGGACAAGCGGTTTGGAATGAGTGAATGCAACCAGCAAAACTTTATAAACTGTGGACTTGAACATATCATTTGGAGTAGAACTCGTATCTTTTTTTACCTTTGTTGCAAAAATAAGTGAATGCTTAAATGAAATCTAGTTAGCTTTTTTTTTTCAAAGGCAAGGATATCCCAAACATACACTATAAAGATGAACTTAAAGGAGCGAAGAGGAGAAAAGTATTTTTTTGAGGAAGCAATTGAAAACGAAATCATTTTAAAAGGAAAAGAAAGGTCCAGAATTGAAGTATTTAATGTAATATGTGGCAATATTACTCAAGACCTTAAGAAAAGAATTAAATGTTATGAAGAAGTAACATCAGTGTTTAAACGTTCTTTCCCCATAGACAAGGAGGAATCAAAATATCAATTGACTTTCTGAGTCAGAAATATAGGGACAATAATGACAAAATCAGAGAATGTTTACAAAACGAAATTATTCATTTTCAAGAATTGTGCAAAAATTTAAACAAAAATATTATTTATGAAAAATTTGAGGTTGTTCAGACAATGAAATCAACTTTTTCTAATATTCTAACTCGATTGCAAATTTATTTAGCAATATCCATTTCTAACGCGTCAGGCAAAAGATCTTTTTCTACCCTAAAAAGAATAAAAACATATTTAAGGTCTAATTTGGAGTAAAGAAAACGTTGATGCTTGTCACTGTTATATTTAGAATATAAAATACAGAAAAAACTTAATAGTGATACTATCATATGTCAGTTTGCCAATATTAAGTCATGAAAAAGAATGTTATAATTTTTGTAATGTTATATGGTTATATTTTAGAATGTGTATTTATGTTATATTTTAGAATGTTGTTTCTATTTTAAATATTTTTTATATGAATACTGTTTTTTATTTTTATATATATTCTTAGAATAAAAATTAAACATTAAATTTTTGTTTTATTTGTTAGTGGGTCCAAGAACCTCTTCTTGGATCTGCCAGTGCCAAGGGGGCCAGTAGATCTTCTGCACCCAGCGCTGGAAATGAGTTCAGTCACAGAGGTACACACATTTTAAGATTTAAAATGATTAAATAGTTAACAGCAAAAATTCAAAATACTTCACTAATATAAAGAAGGTAATTCAATCTAAAATAACTGATTTCTACTTTGTAACATAGAAAAGTTTATTTTTTTGCAGAATATTGTAATATTATTAAAATTTTATTCAATTACTACATTAAGTATCTATAACAAAAAAAAATTACTTTTGAATCCCAACTAACATTGATCACAATTTATATGTGCATGCTTTGGTTGTTTAGTTGCTAAGAAACACTATAAATTAGGTTATTAGGCCCTACAAATTAAGTTAAGGTACTAAAAAATATTAATAACAAATATAAAAAATGTCTTCAGCATTCATTTAAATTTTGTAAAACTTTAAACAAAAAGCAAAAGAAATCCATTTTTCAGAAATGCAAAAAACAAAAATGTTAAAACAAATTTAAGCTTATTATACAAAACAATTCTAGTACTACAGTTATATAAGACTTTCTGCATATTTTACAATTAAATATTTAAAAACATTTAGTTTAGTTCGGTACCAAAATAAACGACTTTCTTCACAAATAAGTTTTACAATGAAGAAAGATATGCTGCCTTTAATATTAAATTATTTTCCTTCAAACCATATTTAATTTACTAAAATTCGATTCTTGTCTAAAAAGTTCAAAGTCAATAACATGTTCAATGAACTATTTTACTTCATAATTACTTTTAGAAAAACTTTGTACAGTAAAAACATACTTTTTTCTATTTCTTTCAGGTCACATTCATGTTAACTCAACAATAAATTAATGTGGAATACTTTAACACAAATTCTCATTCTAAAAAGTAAATTAAACAATCAAATTTTATTTTGCTTTCAAAATTAAGATTTTAAATATTTTTCAATTGCCACACCATTCACAAAACAAACACAAATTAGTCTAGTAATTAAAAAATTAATAGAATACAAAAAAGTATTTTAAACATGTTTATGCACAAAAATTACCAATTCTAGAGGGGGAAGGGGAATGGGAAAAATTAAATGGAGAAAACACTCTATATATCTATAAAAATTGATATTTCAGCTGAATTACTGATAGTTCATGAAATTGACTTTTCTCAGGTAGCTAGCTCTTAGATACTCTTAAATAGTTCAAAAAAAAAACTCTTTAAAAGTAAGAAACATCAAGCTTTGCATTTTTATATAAAAGTTCTAGCTTTTATATTTTTAAACAAATAAAATTATTATAGTTAATATCTCAAACATTTCTTGACTTTTCCCCTCACAGCCAGTTTTGGCATCAGCAGACACACATTCTCTCAATGCGTCTTTTCCATACACAACAAACATATATATTTCTTGCTAGAACAGCATTTTTACCTTTACAATACTAAAAAAAAACATGCTAAAAATGCTGCTTTCAACTGTCCACATTGATAAGGCACCAAACAAAAATTACTGCACAGAATCAAATATACAATGACAATGCCACTTAAATGTGAAGTTGGGTGCAAAAAAATACAATTACGTACTCTGTTGGGGGAAAAAATTAAATTAATTTTCTTATAATTCAATAATTTACAGAACAGAAAACTGACATAACAGAAAATAATGTATAATACAAGATAACTCAAGCTAAAGTACTTCATATCTAGTTTATCACGAAATGTTTGGATTCTAAAAACAAAAACCTGTAATTTGATAAAAATAAATTTCAAATCTTCAATTACAATTTTAATTTTTGACATAAAAGAAAAACTCTTCCATACTTTCACAAGAGAACTGACAACAGGAGATTCCATTAAGCCTTTCAAAAATATTATATCTGTATCTCTTGCACCGACCCTTCCATTAAGGTCTTCAATATTTTCTCGCACATGCTGAAAAGCAGCTAAAAAAATATATATAAAGAGACATACTTAGTGAAATGTATTATAAAAAAGCAACATGCAAAAAATAAATAGAATTTGAAAAAAAAATAATTAAAATTCAAAACAAATATTGTACACTAAAAAAATCAAGTGTTTATGTAAAAAGGGGAGGGGGTGGACACTTTATTTTAACACATTGAAGCATGCAATGAAAAGCATGAAGCCTCAATTCCTGTATATTTTTTGTAAAATAAACTAAACAAAAAATAAATATTAATCAATTCATTAATAACTAAATAGCAAATTAACAAAAGATAAATCTTGAAAAATAGAAGACAAGAATTTCCATCTCCAGTCTTCAAAGTGTAAAAAAAAAAAGATTTTTACTAAATTGTGAATATAACATTTAAGAATTGTTCTCAGATGTAGATATCATTCATTGTTTATTTCATTAAATTAATATACACTGAGCAGACACTATTTTATAACCATCTGATGGCTATATGCATTACATTAGTGTTGCAGCTAGAGGGTTTAGTACACCCAACTCTTTTTTACAGGGTAGATAAGTTCCTTAGAAAACCGTACAAAACAAATAATAATAATCGTATAACTAAATACATGCAAAATATGGTAAATTGGGGGATATGTTCTAAAATTTTTAAAAATCTGGAAAGATGGAAAAAATTTTAACATTTTCCCAAAAGTTAAGCCATATTTTGCCTTTAATACAGCCTTGATTCTTGATAAGGAATGAAGTCTTATTCATATATTTATGCACATAAATGAAGAGCATGCCTAGTATATTCCCCAGAACATCACTTTGCCTCTACCATTTTTGAAGTGTTGTTGTAATGCATTTAGAGTCCATACTTTTACGTTGTTTGTAAAAAAAATTCTGAATCGATCATCTGCTTGATGTTATTTAAAATGGGATTCATTGGATTAAATTACTTTTCCAATTGCCTGCAACTGTCCTTGTATGACTGAGCGAATTCGGGATGATATTGATAGTGGTCATAATGAAGTGGCCATTTAGTGTAGAGAGAATAGAGAGAGAGAAAGAGAGATTATGCATTTCCCTTTATACAAATTTTTTATATGGTTTGCAGCAGATTCAGTATAAGCAATTTATGTTACAAATGCTTTCCTAAGATTACTATTGTTAATGGCTTTTTTCAATTCCTACTATTAGTTCACTCTCTTCCTATATATATATATATATCATTCAAAATTTCAATTGTTAATAAAATACTTTATATTCATACATTCAAGATCAAATACATTTTTTTAAACTTGTAGTGGATGACACTTGATGTTAATATAGTTTTTTCAAATATTAATTCATTAATTAAATTTAAAAAAGAATAAATAGAAACAAACAAAAATAATAGTCCAACAGCATATATAAAAAGAAACTCGTTTGTTCGGTCCCTGTAGCTCAATGGATACAGCATTGGACTTCTAATCTAAAGATAGTGGGTTCGAATCCCACCTGGGATGGCCTAATTTTTGAGAATGTGAATTCTTTTTTGCTATACTATTTTATTAGAATAATTAAATTTAATTAATGAATAAATAGTAACAAAAAAATAGTCCAACACCATATATAGAAAGGAAAATTGAAAATTGCAAGGAAAACCACTTTCTATTTTGTCACTTAACACTGTGAATTTGTCATATGCATATACATATTTATATTAATTGTAAAAATGTAATAAAAAGTAGCTTCAATAAAATTTCTCTTTGTTGCCCAAAGTAGGAATTGACTTAAAAATTTTTTTTATTAACATTACTTGTTACTGGTAAGTTGGCTTACTATATTTACAGTTTTAGATTATTAAAAATTAAGTTTTTCAAATTATATATAATTTTAGCTCTTTTTAAAATTTCTCAATTATATATTTCTAAGTAAGTATTTTAAGTAGGAGTGCTTAATCATACACCTATAAGCTTTTTTTTTAGAAATTACTTTAATTTTTTCCAAAAAAAATCAAAAAGTTTTTTTTTAGCCCAGTAATATAAGTAAATAAGGTAAAAGTTTGGCACCTTGAAATAATGTTAAACTCCACAATTTTAGTCTAAATCTAAGAGTTTGCTATTGTATTACTGTGGCTATTTACTTTTGTCTACACTGTCTACTACATTCCTTCATATTGTTTGGCAGTAAGTTAATCTATTATGTGTGACTGAGGATTACTTACACATACACATATATTACTGTTCTTACATAAGAAGTAAAGAAAATTAATCTTCAGACATATTAGGTAACTAGTTTATTTTAAAATAATTACTAAACACAAGTACACAATTTTACTTTGAGATAGTATTTAATTAACAACTGATTATTAATAGCTTCAAAATCTTTTAAGTAATAATTCATGTATTCAGTTAAAAATACAATAAATTACAGAAAAACTATTTCACATAGATGCATAAATAAAGTAGAATATGAGAGTAGGATGAGTAGAAAAGTAGAATGAGATAATTTATTAAAAGAGAAACAAAAATACAACAGCATACAAATTTATTTCAAATTTATTAACTTTTTACTCACTCCATTAGAACCTTTTTACAGTGAATCACTGAAATAAGTATCAACAAATACAATGAAAATAAATTTTATTTCATGACTTTTAGCATGAGTAAGAATCTTCTTGTAAAAAAAAAAAACAAATAACTTTTGATGAAATGTTTTCAATTTCTTAAACTTCAAACCTAAAATTTTAATTTCCATAATTTTATTTAAATGTTTATTGGAATTAATTTCTGATGAGAGAAATATCTCCAAAAATTAACTTAAATCTTTTTTAAAAACAATATAGATGTAATTTTATTTATTCAAAACACTTCTTATTCAACCGAGCTTTTAAATTTTAAAACCTTTGTTTAATACACAGATTAATGTTGTTCCCCCCAAAAATTACATTACTATAAGGTGATTATTAATTATTACACGCTTATGAAAAATGAACATTATATCCTACTATATAATTGTATCTTAGCTTCATGTTCATTTCTATGTCTCCAACAAAATATTTAATACAATGTGAATTTTAATAGAATAACCAAAAAAACATTGTCATACATTTACATCCAAAATTATTCTAAATATATTATATACAAAATATTACATCTATTCAATATAAGAATTCACACACTACATTTTTTTTCAACAGGTAATTATTTTAGTTGATATCTATATACAGTTGTACATGTACTTAGTTACAAGTTGAAAATAAAAAAGAAACACAGTAGATGAACATTTTTAAAATAAAAAAAACCCTGTCAACTTGGGATCCAATAACACAATTAACATAAGCTAAGCAAATTTATTTGAATGCTTACAGTGGAAAATAAACTGAAACTTACAATAGAACAGATACACCAATTTCCAGTTACATAAAATATTAAAATTATTTTTATAGATTTAAAAATATTTTTTAAAATTTTTAATGGGACTGCCGATTGGTGTTTTACCATTGCAGACCTGTGCACTGACTGGGAGCTGGCATATCTTTTTTAGTGTGGCACCATACAGGTGGAATACCAATTGCCACAAGTAATTTTGATGCCCAGACTCCTCCCCAGAGAGTTGAGCTCTGATGATGTTAAACCAAACATAGGAATTTAAATTTGCAGAGAGCACCCAAGGGATCTTTTGCATGCTGCATAATCATACGACATGGATGGTGTCTATTTTCTGCATCATGAAAATCCACCAACTTGGGCCGGGGTTGAACCCACAACCTTCGGCATACAAGGCCAGCCAGCGACAAACCAATTATGCTACCCAGCAGGCTCATTTTAAAGCAATATTTTCAAGAAATCTTCAGCAATGGATTTCTAAAAATATATTCTTAAGGTTCTTTCTATCTTCTCTTTTAAACACAGTGTAAGACATTGCATTAGAGAAGAAAGTAACAATTTTGCACCTTTTCCTGACGTTGAACCTAACCACTTGTAAATAAAAATAAGCATACAAATTTATGAGGATATATAAAACATTAGCTAAAAGTAGTTTTCACTTGATGTATATCCATTGCTGTTAAAAGGTGTAGACATTGACAAATAAAAACTAATTTAAGGAAGTACCTTTAATGTATGATAATATATTGTCAGATAGTACATGTCCTAATTCATAATAATATAACTCAAAAATCTATTTTTTTACCCCCCCCCCCAATAAAAAATTATTTCACACTCAAGTAGAACTTATTGTTAATAATAATTTCAACTTAATAAAGTAGCATATTCTAGTACAAATTGTTACATCTCATTTGTTGAATCAGGGAACACATTGTATACTTTAAAAATAGTAAAATGTAATATATTCAATTACGATATATAATCAGATGCATTACAGTTTTGCACCAAAAGAAATGGAATACATACAGTAAATACAACATGTTTAATTATTAAAGTTTAGAATTGCTACTCATACAGAAAACCACAAACAGATTTATAATCAAGTGAAAACAATAGTATTGAAAAGAAAATATAGAAAATAGTGGTCCACAAAAGTGTTCGTACACTTGCAATTTTCAATAAAATTTAATGTTTTCAACTAATAAAAATTCATATCACAGCATTCCAATTTTTTAATTATATCTGCAACTTGCTTTTAATGGAATAAACAATTTTTAAAACATAATATAACAGTTAATCCTGGGCTTGGCAAGGTTAACTCAGCCTTTCATCCCTTCGGTAGGTTGATAAATGAGTACCAAGCTTGCTTGTGAACTGAACACAGAGAGGGTTTCATGCCAGACAGACCACTTGACCGAAACATCAACACATGCACCCCAGCGCCTAAGGTCACATAAACTGAGATGGGCACAGTAGGCCTTGGCCCTCATGGGCAGCTGCACCACTGAGTTCCGTTCAATATAGCTATTATTTTAAAAAATCAACAATCAAAAATCTACCAAAAAATTATAATCTTCATACACTTCAAAAAAATCTCAACATAGCTTTAAATATTGTATTTTTTTCTTGATTTAATACTTAGTACTATATGCTTTAGCATCTATAATAACTTTTAAACAACTTGGTATAGATTTCATCAGTTTTTTGTAATTATGCATAGATGTGCTTCCATTCTTCCACGATTATCATTTTTATTTCACATTTTGTTTTTTATATGTCATGTTTTCTTTTTTTTAAATCAAAAATTATCACAAAATTTGCTCTACTCGGCTAAATGATGAGTTATATTTGAATTATTTAATGAACAATTTGAAATTATTCGACCAAAATTTGGATATTGTAAACGGCTTCATTTTTTAAAAAGATAATGACACCAGTGTACTACTCTCAATGTATGCTGTTGGTGTCTTCATAACTGTCCCAAATTCTTAAAAAACCTCCTAAAATCACCTGATTTAAGCCTACTAGACCATATTTTGTGACAATTTGATTTTAAAAAAAATATGACATAAAACAAAATGTGATGTAAAAACAATCACAGAAGAATGGAAGAAAATCTTTGTAGAACTTAAAAAAAGCTGATGAAATCTGTACCAAGACATTTAAAAGTTATTATGGATGATAAAATATATTATCAGCACTAAATTAAGAAAAAATACAATATTTAATGCTATGTTGAGATTTTTTTTTTTGAAGTGTACGAAGACTTCTGTAACGTAATTTCTTAGTAGTTTTTTTATTAGTAATTTTTTAAAATAGTTATATTATGTTTCAAAAACTGGTCATGTTATTTCATTAATCACATATCATAAAAAATATTATCATGTTATTTCATATCACATATCATTTCACATATCATAAAAAAATTATAATTCTGATACATTAATTTTTATTAGTTGAAAACATTAAATTTTATAGAAAATTGCAAGTGTGGTCCACTCTATATATACATAAAGAGATATCGATCATTACTTTTTAGTTGTTTTTATCCTTCCTTTATTTAATTTTAAACAAGAGAATCAAGGGCAATATTTTGCTGCATTTTCTTAAGCAAGCTCAGTCGATTAAAATTGTTTTAATGTTAGCAACTGTTACAATTAACCACTATGATTTTTTTTTTTTTTAAATGTACATTTTAAATGAAAGTATGAAAATGCAAACAGTTCAAGATAAGAAATATTTAACAATGCAATAAAATATATAACATATAACATTCTTTTATCTACTGTAATGTATTGTACTGTTTCAAAACAAAACTTAGTAAGACTTTGTACAGTTTAATTTCACATCATATTTTGAAATACTACAACAGAGTATTCACACAATAGCTTAATTATTCTAAGTTATGATAAGATACAAATTTTGATAGTGATGTCAGATTCTAAAGCCTTTCCTATGTTCTTGCCTTTAAAAATCTAATTTAATTTATTCAAAAGCAGCTATGCTCTTAACACAATCGAATTATGAGAAAAATTCTTAATTTATCACTAATCAACATTTAAGCAACTATTATAGTCCACAACAAAACTACTTGAATTTCCAAGAGTAGCAATTTTTGCCTTTTGTATTTTTAT